AGAGAGAGAGAGAGAGAGAGAGAGAGAGAGAGAGTTCTTCTTCTTCCTCTTCTAAGTCCACCATCTCTTCCTCACCTTCTCGCTACCTGACTTCTCAGTATCTGCAGACTACGAGAGAGAGAGATTGGTGACTTTGGGACTTTACGGTATTGGATCCTGACTCAACATTGGGATTCAGACATTTGACGACGGATTATCTGGGACCTGTACCGAAGACTTGGTGTTGGCGGCATTCCCATCTTCCCCTCTTCTTTGTCTCACCCCCCTCTTCTTCGTCTGTGTATGGTTCAGGACTGGTGCATTCTTCCTGTGTGAGCTCCAGGCCCCTTCACACCATGGAATTATGATACCTGTATGAAGTCAAAGTACATGTCTTACGAGGAGTTTCTTTCATATGTCAAGGGCTGGTAAGGTTTTGCGCGTTGTATCGAATTAAACCACATGCTCCACCGCTTGTGATGTATGTTTGGTCTGCATTACAACATTGATTATTTGGGTCACTGGTATTTAAGCCTTCCGCTGTGCTATCCTTCACTATGTGAGAGCGGTCGGTTCTTGTTCTGGTCTGCACCTTCACGGTATGCGACAGGTAACCTCTTATACCAAATTGTAATGAACCCAGTCTGGAGGAAACTCGTCAAGTGTCGACGTACAAGATAACTCAGCGCTGAATAATGTCTCCAATAATAAAGAAGTGCGAAATGTGATACAATGCCTCGTAACCAGTGGACAAAGGAGAAGAGGGTGGAAGAGAAAGTATCCATTAACGACCACATAGATAGAAGCCCTCGTTCCCCTCTTCTTCTTTGGGACTCCATCTCCTCCACGTCAACAAACAGTGTCCAAGAAACGAGCCTGAAGAAGATAAAAACAATAGGCAAGCAGACTTCAACTCTTCATTCGACGAGCCGACCTCGTCCACCACATAGTTCGAAGAAGAAGAATAGTAGGAATCCACCCAGTCGCAAAACAGAACATTTTTAAGGTCTGATCACATTAAAGTGCCACGTGGCACAGTTCTCCCATGAAGACGTCACAGCACCACGCAACAGGTAAGTCTCCTCTCACTCAACCAATCCACAGATCCCGATCTCCCTCCTCGTCGCATCCCAATCAACAATGAAGACAGTGTGGCATGTGCCACATCAGCAATGTCAAAGACTGTGGCTTGTGCCTCGTTAGCAATGTAGACAGTGTGGCATGCACCACGTCAGCAAGAGCCAGCGTCAAAACAGCATCGCACCGGCGTCTAGCCAGTGTCGAGCCAGCATCAAGTCAGCAAGGCAAGACTGAATGTTGACTCCTGAAGGCAGGGTCAATAAGTAGCGTTAACGAGATTGACCTGCCTCTGGTCCCTCACCCACGAAGGCTCAGATTGACTCAAAGCCGACGGCCAGGATCTTTACAGTTGCAGACTCCATTTGGCCCGTATGCTGTCCGGATACCTACATACAAACAATTGTGTGTGTCTGACCGGCAGCCTAGGCTGGGTCCATGCAGACTACGACTTGTGGGCCTCGTACAGTTGATGCAGACTATGACCTGTGGGCCTCGTACAGTTGACTCTTGGTCAACTGTCAGGTGCAGGGCCGCTGAGCCACGTCTCAGGGCACTGGTTTCTCACACCTGTCAGGCACAGGGCCGATAAGCCTTTTTCTATGGCCTGAGGGGGTGGCCTTTAGACAACGATGAAGCATATTGGAGCGTGCTATTGCATTACTTGTTCTTTACATTAATTAACAGTAGTTTATGACCTTTTCTCATGTGTCAAGTACAAAACTGTCATCACCAGCATCATAATCATAATTAGTAGCAGAGCAGCAGTAGCAGCAGCTGTTGTTGTTTTTCTCGCCGTTGAACATTTGTCATTTATCCTTTAGCTTGGGGGCAGTCTGACCATCTTCGCCTGCCTGTCATCTTCCATGTTTCCATGTCGTGTTTTTTTTCTTTTTTACAGATCCCTCCCATTTTTTTTTATTTTTTTTTTTAATGAAGCCGAGCTGTGTTGCACACCCCAAAGGTCGGCCGCCCTTGACTGGTCGGCTGCCGACCAGCTGACCGGTCCGCTGGTTGGGGGTCGTCGGCACCCCACACAAAAAGAGAAAAAAAACCCTAATAACCCCAAATGCCGCTGTGATGTGCAAAAACTCGCGCGCATGCGCGCAAGAGAGAGAGAGAGAGAGAGAGAGAGAGAGAGAGAGAGAGAGAGAGAGAGAGAGAGAGAGAGAGAGAGAGAGAGAGAG